CTGATTCAACAAGATGTTATTTATTTTTAACTTTGAGATTCAACTTTTCAAGGCTCAGCTGAGCCAGCAATGCGTCGCATAGCAATGCTGAAAGCTGATGCTTCACTTATTAGAGACCCATTGATTCAATGCGTGACTCACTGATTTTATTTCGGCTTCCTTGTGTTGTGGGATGCTGACCAGAGCTGCTGCTGACGCGCATTTATGGAAAATAGCCCGTGAGAGAACATTGAGAACACAGAACAAGAGAAACAACATTAAAATGATTGATGCGACAAATTTTTCGCTTTCCTTTGACACGACAAGCTTTTCACGACTTCAAAGACAGACGCAGGTAATTGCACGCGCAGCGCGTGACGCGCTCTGCCGATCTCTCTCATTCACTGTCTGTGTGAAGCCTGTAGGCTACACATCACCATGATAAACAGTCTTGTTATCGTTATGAACTTGTTTAACATTCAATACACATGCATTAAGTTCAAAACAAGAAGGGTATAGCCTTATAAAAAAAAAAACGTGAATATCGCGGTTGCTGCGGTTACGTGCTATCCTCTGCGGTTGACTTGTCAGAAGCGCGGTACTACAATATTGCGGTTACCGCGACAGCCCTGGTCGGATCATAGACACTGTAACTAGCCAAGATGGGTTAGTAAGGAAAGTTACATTGACACTTGGTGACAAAACACTGAACAAGAAAGTAGAACGATTGAACAAGGTCTCAGTAGTTGAGAGGCCAGCTCAGAAGTTGGTTTTATTATTGGAAGCAGATTAAAAACATCTTCAAAGAGACTTTACATGCACTCACAAAGGTCTTTATAAGGTCTTTATAAGTGTGTTGATATAACATTTATAATTTGGTGGGAGTGTAACAGACTTTGATAATTTTCTAGTACATTTTTGTATATATTTTTATAGTCCTGTTTAGTTTAAATTAGATTTACAAAATGTATTAAGTGGGACTTTTATTTTGACATGTTCTGCGGGCTTCGGGGGAAAAGGAAGTAAGGGGAGAGCGCGAGTTATAGTGGAAAGAGCTAAGAGAAAGCACGCGCTTCGCGCAGAGTTGTACTCTTTATCAAGTTTAACGAAGTTTAATGGTATGCACCCCCTCGGAAAAGGCACAAGCTCTTAAGGTGATTGGTGATGTGATTTATTGAGAGCATAAAGAAGTGAAACAGACTCAATAAAAAACTTAATTGACATCAGTAAAGACGTGTCCATCATTTGAGAGGGGTCTTCTACACATTTATAAAAATGCCTTCTATATTTCTGTTTTGCTTTTCACTCCATTTTACCAAAATTGTACCGAACCGTGATGTCTAAACCGAACCGTGACTTCTGTGTACATTATGAGGCTGAATCCAGCTTCTTATTCGCAGCTTCTTATTGACGCTATCCGTTCCACCAATAAGAAGCTGCGAATAAGAAGCTGGATTCAGGCTCGTTTTAAATTATTTGAGTTTTCCATGGTTGTGTTGACATCTCTGTCTTGGGATTATAATCAGAGGAAGGTTAAGTTTAAAATAAAAATGTTTAATTGTAATAGATTTTTTCTCCTGGTCCTTATTTTAAATGGGTCATAAAAAAATCAATAATTATCTATATCGACCGATATGAAACACTGATATCGTGATAAAGTTTTCAGCCATATCGCCCAGCCCTACGCACTTATGTTAATTTGACTCAGACCTTGAGGAAGTCTCATTCTCAGCTTTTTGTTTGCTATGGGAAGGCTGGACTAGGGTGTCCACTTTCTAAGCAACGTTTGTCACATTGGTTACTTGAGGTTATTTCCCAGGCTTATACAGGCAGTGGGTTACCAGTTCCTATGGGAATACGGGCCCACTCAACCAGAAGTGTAGCTACTTCTTGGGCGGCACTAAAGGGAGTCTCAGTGGAGGAGATTTGTGCTGCAGCATCATGGTCTACACCATGTACATTTGCAAAATTTTACAGAGTTGACGTAACTACCACAGCGCCTGTCAGCAGTGCAGTTTTGATGTCTGTAGCCCAGCGAGGTTTGAATAGTTCAGAGTCTGTAGTTCCTGTTGACATGAGTCATCCTATTAGACCGTAGTGAAGGTCAGAGTGAGGTCGAAACAGATCGTAAGTTATGAATATAACTATGGATCTGTGAGAACGAAGGACATGGGCATGACTTTGTTTACATAAGGTCTTGAGAGAAGGCGGAACGAAGGTTATCATCATCCTATTAGACCGTAGTGACGGTCATCCTTCGGTCTCACAGATCCATAGTTATATTCATAACTTACAACATTAGACCTTTTCAAATGAGACAAAGTATCTCTTGTAGTACAGTGTTTTTTCTCTCTCTCTCTGTTCTTTGTGTCATAAGTGTAAGATCAGGCTCACATGTGTCCAGCTCTGTGTCTCTGAAGAGTGATCACTCTAAAGGTAGACCACCAGACTTCAGTGAGAAAACACCATCATCTAATAAAAGGTATTTTGTGTTAGTAATTTTTTGTCATGCGTGAAGTTGTATCAGAGAATACCAATCATAAAATATGTTTAGATCAAATATTTGTCAGAGTATTCACAGCTAATGCTTATTTCTCTTTCTGTAAAATATCAGTTAGTATTTTATTTTACTAATGTGATTACAGGCTTCAATACGAGACATTAGACTCAGACCGTCAGACTCACAGGAACCACAAGAATTTCAAAGACAATCTTCTTGGGATCTTCCAGGTAGGAAAACACATTTTTATGAATGTTTAATATTTCTAATAAACAAATATGTTATTGAACAAAGAAATTTAATTACATTTTTCTTGATCCCTTATTTTCCTTTTTAAACACATTTTAGCTCAACTTGGTTAGCATGTTATTCTTTTAACTGGATTTTGTAATGTACATGTGTGATAAAGCTCAGGTTCTGGGTGAAGTGTGGGTGATGGAAGGAGACACAGGGTTGGCAATATCTGGGGCTCGTGCACTTTTATTTTTACTCTCCCCACAGCGCACTCGGCGCTCACAATAACTTAACTCAGAAACAAATCATAAACAGAAAGTAAATATGCAATAGAACTCTTCCCGCTGGCTACAGCTTCGCGTTCGGCTCAGTCTCAATGAATAGGCCGAGCTCCAGTGACCGGATCCAGCGCTGACTTTGTTCCGGGGTCCGGCCGACCCGCTGGAGAATGGCGCGCTTCAGGTCTTCAAAGACCAGGAGGTTCTGGACTGGCAGCTGTTGAGCGGCGATCTGGGCTTCCCCCGATAACAGCGGGATCAACCGCATGGGCCAGTCCGCTGGTGGCCATTTCCCGGCCGTAGCCGTCCTCTCAAAGAGGTCCAGGAACGCCTCCGGGTCATCCTGGGGACCCATCTTGTGGAGAGGCATGGCTGCGGCCACGGTAGGGTCTCGAACCTCCCGGTCCTACCAGCTCCGGAACTGCTCGCGGTCCTCCTTCTGGCCCTGGAGGAGCGCCTCGAACCGGCGCTGTTGCTGCTCCTCCATCTTGAGCAACGCCTTCTGATGTTGTTGGTGGAGGCCCGCGAGCACGTGGATGACCTCCGCAAATGGGGTTGGCATGGACTGTCTGGCGGCGGCTTCCCCTTCCATCCCGGGTTTCGGCACCAGTGTGATAAAGCTCCGGTTCTGGGTGAAGTGTGGGTGATGGAAGGAGACACAGGGTTGGCGATATCTGGGGCTCGTGCACTTTTATTTTTACTCTCCCCACAGCGCACTCGGCGCTCACAATAACTTAACTCAGAAACAAATCATAAACAGAAAGTAAATATGCAATAGAACTCTTCCCGCTGGCTACAGCTTCGCGTTCGGCTCAGTCTCAATGAATAGGCGACTTGTCGTGTCGTGTCTGGTCGGTCCGTGCACGAGCTCCCAGTCTCTCTCAATTGTGCTCTCTGCCCGGGCTGCTTATATGCGGTCTCCTCACGCCAATTACTGCAATCACAGACAGGTGTTCGTCATTTGAACTTGACCCGCTTACTCACCGCCTGGCTCCGCCCCGCTCTCCCGCTGCAGATCTCACCAAACCACGCACCCCTCGCCACATACCCCCACCGCCCGACTCAGGCTGGGGAGCCGTCCGGCCTGCAGCCTCCCTCTAAAAGCCTGCTGACACTGCTCCGTCCACTGAACGGTATCTGGCCCCTCCTTTTTAGTTAAATCAGTCAGAGGGCTAGCAAGGTCCGAATAATTATGTACAAACCTTCTGTAATATCCTGCTAGCCCCAGGAACTGTCTAACCTCCTTTTTGGTCTTAGGTCTCGGACAGGTCGCAATTGCTGGCGTCTTGTCAATTTGGGGACGCACCTGTCCATGACCCAAGTGAAAGCCCAGATACCTAACTTCCACGCGCCCAATTGCACACTTCTTTGGGTTGGCCGTGAGCCCAGCCCCTCGCAGCGTTCTGAGGACAGCTCGCAGGTGCTGCATATGTCACTGCCAGTCGTTACTATAGATGCCGGAGGATTCTGTCCATCAGACGCTGAAAGGTAGCCGGTGCCCCGAACAAACCGAAAGGAAGTGTAACAAATTGGTGTAATCCGAACGGCGTCGTGAAAGCAGTTTTTTCTTTAGACATTGGAGATAAGGGGATTTGCCAATAGCCCTTCGTTAAATCCAGTGTCGAATAAAAGCGAGCAGTGCCGAGCCGATCAAGCAATTCGTCCACCCGCGGCATTGGATATGCATCAAATTTCGATACAGCATTCACCTTGCGATAATCCACACAGAACCGCACGGAGCCGTCAGTTTTAGGCACTAAAACTATCGGGCTCGCCCAGTCACTTTTGGATTCTTCTATTACTCCCATATCCAACATAGCTTCCAATTCCTCCTGTACCACTTTCTTTTTATGTTCAGGTAATCTATACGGCCGGCTGCGCACTACCACACCCGGGTCGGTCTCAACATGGTGCTGTATGAGGTTCGTCCGACCAGGAAGGGGCGAGAACACATCAGCAAACTCTGTTTGCAAATTTTGAATGTCAGCGATCTGGGACGGTGAGAGGTGATCTCCGCAAATGGCCAGAGTAGCGGATCGAGACTTTAAATTCGCCTCTGGCCCGAGATTCTCCTCCCCACTCACTACCGTCGCCAGCATCGCCGACTCCGCCTCACTCCACTTCTTTAGGAGGTTGAGGTGATAAATCTGATGTGTCCCGTCCCTGTCTGATCGAAGAACCTCATAGTTGAGATCCCCAATTCGGCGTGTGACCACAAAGGGTCCTTGCCACTTGGCGAGTAATTTAGAGCTGGATGTGGGAAGCAATACAAGCACTCTATCTCCCAGTGCAAATTTGCATAGTTTAGCCCCCCTGTTGTATAGCCGACTTTGTTTGTCCTGAGCCTGTAACAAATTCTCCATAGAGAGTCGCCCCAACGTGTGGAGTTTTGTTCTCAGGTCCAGGACATACTGAATTTCGTTTTTGCTATTCGAAGGTCCGTCCTCCCAAGCCTCTCTAAGGACATCCAGTACCCCGCAGGGCTGGCGTCCATAGAGCAGCTCAAAGGGGGAAAACCCCGTGGAGGCTTGGGGGACCTTCCGTACAGCGAACAAGAGGGGTTCTAGCCACCTATCCCAATTTTTGGCGTCTTCCTGCACGAATTTACAAATCATGGATTTCAATGTGCGATTAAACCGTTCCACCAAGCCATCTGTTTGTGGGTGATAGACGCTGGTACGAATCGATTTAATGCCCAACAATTCGTATAATTCGCGGATAGTGCGTGACATAAACGCCGTGCCCTGATCGGTGAGAATCTCTTTTGGGATCCCCACCCGGGAGATTAATTGAAACCGTGCACTCGCGACGCTTTTAGCGGAAATGTTGCGGAGCGGCACTGCTTCGGGGTATCGCGTTGCATAATCCACCAGGACTAATGCAAAGCGATGCCCCCGTGCAGATCGTTCTAATGGCCCGATGAGGTCCATGCCAATTCTTTCGAAGGGGACCTCTATTAAAGGAAGTGGGCACAATGGTGCTTTTCGGTTGGCCGTGGATTTACCAACTGACATTCGCGACAAGAGGTGCACCACCTGCGCACATTCTCGTGAATGCCTGGCCAAAAAAATCGGGTCATTATACGATTTAATGTTGCTGCTTGCCCCAAATGCCCAGCCATTGGATTAGAGTGAGCCGCCTGGAAAAGCATTTCCCGGCGGCTCTTTGGAACTAACAATTGAGTTGTATCTTGCTTTGAATGTGGGTCCTGGGTCACCCGATACAACCTATCCTTGATCACAGCAAAATATGGATAGGAGAGCGGCTGGTTTGGATGGACAGCCTGCCCGTCGATCATTTGGACCTGATCAAGCGCATTTTTTAGCGTGTCATCCCGGGACTGCTCTAGAGGAAAATCATCGCGCTCTGAAAAAATGAGTTCTTCAGACGCGCTCCGTTCCTCCGGAGCAGGACCCGAGGTCCCCGGGACAGCCTCCCCAGCCTGCACCGACGCTCCCCCATCCTACTTTTTATACCCCCCCGGAGCACCCGTGCACAAAAACGTCAATAAGGATTTAAACCCCGGCCAATTAGTCCCCAAGATCAACGGGTGCTGGAGGTGCTGGTTAACTGCCACCTCAACTCTATGCTTTTGGCCCCGGAATTGAATTGTGACTGGCACCAAGGGATAACCCACTATTTCCCCGTGCACACACCGCACCCTAACCATGCGGCTCTTATCCAATGCCGACGCATGGATCAGGCTTTGGTGAATGGAGGTCTGGTTACAACCTGAATCCACCAAAGCCTGATAATCACCCCCCTTTACACTTACTGGAATCTGGTATAACCCAGCTTGATCGAGGGTGGCCCGCGGCTCATCGGGGACCCTGATCAGTGTCCCGATCTCCATCATTGGACACCAATCAATGAAATGCCCGGGGTCCCCACACCGCCAGCAGGCCAGCCCAGGCTTCCCCGGTGGCGGGAAGCGGGGCAGGTAACAGGCGTGAGGAGAGTGCGAGCCCGGGGCCCTCTGCGGCGCTGGAGGAGGGAGAGGTTTCCCGAGGCAGCGTACGTGTCCTCCAGCTCTGGTCCTGGCCCGGTCCAGTTCTCCATCTTGGAGCAGGTCTCGGTGGGATTCCGCCTCGGGACCTGGGACCTGGGAACAGGAACAGGATGAGAGAGAGGGATAGGGGGAGAGAGAGAGAGAGAGAGAGATGAGGGTTCGTCGACCCCTGGGCACGCCACCATCTGGTCCTCTGCCAACTGGATGGCCTTGTCCAGTGAAGTCGGGTGGTGGCACTGGACCCATTGGGCGGTCTTCTTTGGGAGTCAAATCACAAACTGCTCCAGTACCACCTGCTCCACGACTCCCTCGACGTCGCGGCCCTCGGTCACCAGCCATTTGCGGCAGTCCGCTGGTGGCCATTTCCCGGCCGTAGCCGTCCTCTCAAAGAGGTCCAGGAACGCCTCTGGGTCATCCTGGGGACCAGTGGCGGCTCCTGCAAAATCTCTCAGGAGGGGCAAATATTTGGATGATTGATAAGGACAAGGCCCACCCATGCAATGGATAAATTAAAAGCTTAAGCATGTAAAGTCAACTTCACTTTAATATTAATGACTAATAAAGTGACTTAATAACAATAAATCTTCTTGTTTCTATACTCACTATTATTACACTTATTACATCACATTAAAGAGATTCGGCACACAAATTAAGATATTTTTGATTATATCTAAGAGCTGGATCACTCCTCCATACACAGCAAATTCTGTTTTTTGGAATAAACTCCGTTAGTTAAAATCAACTCAATCTGAGTGTACATGTGAGACCATCAAATAGACTCCAGCGCAGAGTTAAAATAACTCTGCTCTTGGAGTTGAATTTAACACTTTTTCGGAGTTAAAATACTAAACCTACGGAGCGTAAATGTAACTCTAAAAATAATTATATGAACTCATTACCAGTGTTAAAAAGTAACACTCAAAAAAAATATTTAGTTTAACACTTCTTAGAGTTAACATTTATTTAACACAATATAATGTTTTGTGTGGAAATTACTACACTGAACACCATATTCTTGATTTACTGCCTTTATTTCAGCAAATCGATTTGGTTCAGATTTGAGGAGGAGTAACCTTCAACCGGTTGTCTGCAGGACAGTCGTATATGAAGATCACAAAAACAACAGTATGAGGCATAATCTAGCACCATTCATTGAGAATGCAAAAATATATTAGCTGAAAATCACGCACATGTGATCGTGGGTCACCACTAATACGTAGCCTAACGTTATAGCTGTTACAATTCAAATCATTGCAGGCCTACACAGCACAAGTATATCTTATTTTCCAGGGTAACGTTAGACACTGCAATTGTGTAACCACGTATGCCTGTAATGCATTGATGCATCAACTTCACGGTAAAACACTCATTTTCAGAAACACGGTGAATGGAAAGACGGTTAGCTAATGTTAACTCGTTTACATTGACAAAAACCCCACGCAAGTAGTCATTTCAAAATTTAAAACAAGTAAACAAACGTTCAACAGCAAGTTTGTCATAATCGTTGACGTTAGTAAACAGTATAACTAGCCTATAACGTAGCAGCTACGCGATGACCAAACGTGTTTGTCAGAAAATATAGAACATTTTTAAATAGTTTATATACTCTTTTACCTACCTCACGACGAGGCACATAAGTCCATTAGCATTCCTTTATCCAGCGGCAGGGTCATGTCGAGGCGCATTTCTCAAAAATAACTCCAGGTGTAGCTAGTGTTAAACCAAAACACACTCCTGAACACCAATGAATGAACTCCAAAATACAACACAGCCGGGGAGTATCCAATAACACAAAGTGTAGTCAGAGTTAAAAAAAATAACTCAAAAGTAACTCTTTTTTGCCTAACTCATGATTTTTCAACTCCTGAAATTTGCTGTGTAGGCATCTAAAGGACTGTGTTCGCCATGGCGTTGTTCAAGTTCAACTGTCTGTAGCCACAACTCGCGAGATGTCCCAACAGTCTCTCTCGCTCTCGCTTTTTTTTTTTAAATCAATTTAATAAAGATAATTAAGTAGTGTTTCATTATTTATTGTTGCTGTTTGAATTCAAAATTGTTTAAAAATATTATTTGTCACTTAATATTAAAGATTTTTAATAGTGGATGTTTGTTCCCACCAATCGCTGCACAAGTTAAGGATACGTATGATGATGTAAGCACGTTAGTGCGAGCCCTCCCGGAACCCATAGAGAATGCGTTGCAGTGCCTGCAGTTCGAAAAAAAACATCTTTGAATGTAAGTCTATGGGAATACTCTGGGCGATTTTCAGCCAGAGTGAAATCGCCCAAAAAGAGGCGGTACTCCACAGAACGTGACATGACACTGATTGGACTATATAGTGATGGCTAGCGTAACTCTCTGGTTAAATGAGATTGTGAGTGTGATGATTCACACTTTGGTGGTGCGTCGCCCAATCGCCCCAATGAAGAAACCGCCCCTGCTGGGGACCCATCTTGTGGAGAGGCATGGCTGCGGCCACGGTAGGGTCTCGAACCTCCCGGTCCAACCAGCTCCGGAACTGCTCGCGGTCCCCCTTCTGGCCCTGGAGGAGCGCCTCGAACCGGCGCTGTTGCTGCTCCTCCATCTTGAGCAACGCCTTCTGATGTTGTTGGTGGAGGCCCGCGAGCACGTGGATGACCTCCGCAAATGGGGTTGGCATGGACTGTCTGGCGGCTGCTTCCCCTTCCATCCCGGGTTTCGGCACCAGTGTGATAAAGCTCCGGTTCTGGGTGAAGTGTGGGTGATGGAAGGAGACACAGGGTCGGTGATATCTGGGGCTCGTGCACTTTTATTTTTACTCTCCCCACAGCGCACTCGGCGCTCACAATAACTTAACTCAGAAACAAATCATAAACAGAAAGTAAATATGCAATAGAACTCTTCCCGCTGGCTACAGCTTCGCGTTCGGCTCAGTCTCAATGAATAGGCGACTTGTCGTGTCGTGTCTGGTCGGTCCGTGCACGAGCTCCCAGTCTCTCTCAATGGTGCTGTCTGCCCCGGCTGCTTATATGTGGTGTCCTCACGCCAATTACTGCAATCACAGACAGGTGTTCGTCATTTGATCTCGCCAAACCACGCACCCCTCGCCACAACATGTTTTATAATTATTGAATAAATTGTGGTTACCAAAATTAGATGGACAATTTGGCTTAAATTGTGTTTTTTCTGTCTTTAATCTTACTTTTGTTTGAAGGATCTTGAGAGCAAAATAGTCACATTTCTGAAGAATGAGCTGGAGAAGTTAAAGAAAGTATTACAACATGAGAACACACAACACTTTGTGAAGGACTTTAATGAGAACAGATCCAGTATCAAATCAGCAGCTATTGATCTCACACTACATTACCTGAGAGAGATGAAGCAAGATGAAGCTGCTGATGCTCTAGAAGGCAAGAGACTCATGATCATCTGTCTGATTGTCTCTTATAAATGTAGGAGAGAAAATGAAGACTAAAACTATCTATTTTCTGTTCCCGTGTTTAGGTGAGCTGTTCTTCATTCCTCAGCTGAAATGTGGCCTAAAGAAGAAATATCAATGTGTGTTTGAAGGACTGGCGAAGCAAGGTGACTCCACACTCCTGAATAACATCTACACAGATCTCTACATCACTCAGGGTGGCAGTGAACAGGTCAATACTGAACATGAGGTGAGACAGATTGAAGTTGCTTCCAGACGTCATGAAGCACAAGAGATACAGGTTAAATGCACACATTTGTTTGAAGCGCCTGAACAAGACGAGGAGATCCGAACTGTACTGACAAAAGGAGTCGCTGGCATCGGGAAATCAGTCTCTGTGCAAAAGTTTGTTCTGGACTGGGCTGAAGGAAAAGAAAATCAAGATATCAGCTTCATATTTCCTCTTCCATTCAGAGAGATGAACTTAAAGGAGAAAGAAAAACTAAGTTTGATGGACCTTTTAACTCAGTTTTTCCCAGAGACAGAAGGACTGAACCTCACAAGATGGAATCAGTTCAAAGTGCTGTTCATCCTTGATGGATTGGACGAATGTCGCCTTCCTCTGAAGTTTGATTGTAATGAGACGTGGCATGATGTATCGTCACCAGCCTCTCTGGATGTTCTCCTGACGAACCTCATGAAGGGAAATCTGCTTCCTTCTGCTCTCGTCTGGATCACCAGCAGACCAGCAGCTGCCAGTAAGATTCCTCCTGACTGTATCGACCGGCTGACAGAGATACGAGGATTCAGCGACGCACAAAAGCAAGAGTACTTCAAAAAAAGATTCAAGGATGATATTCAAGCCAACACAATCATAGATCATGTTAAACAATCAAAGAGTCTCTTTATCATGTGCCACATCCCAGTCTTCTGCTGGATTTCAGCCACTGTTCTCCAGAACATTCTGGAGGAAAAGAGAAATAATGATGTGAGAAACACTCAGCCTAATGAGATCTCTAAAACACTGCAGGAATCAAACACTGAAGACACTCCCAAGACTCTGACACAAATGTACACACACTTTCTCCACTTTCAGATCCAGCAGAGCCGCCGGAAATATGATGAAGAATACACACCAGATGTTTCCTGGGATAAAGACGCCATCCTTTCACTGGGGAAACTGGCATTTCATCATCTGGAAAGAAACAACCTGATCTTCTATGACACAGACCTGGAAGCCTGTGGTCTTGACGTCTATAAGGCATCAGTGTACTCAGGCATATGTACCCAGATCTTTAAGGAGGAAACAGGGATCGTTCTTGGTACCATGTACTGCTTTGTTCACTTGAGCATTCAAGAGTTTATTGCAGCCCTTTATGCACATCTGTTTCTAGACATCAACAAGACAAGTGTGTTTGATCATGAGTCTACAGAACAGGAAAACAGAAATGAAACCATGATTGATTTTCTCAAGACTGCAGTGGACAAGGCACTGGAGAGTGACAATGGACACCTGGACCTTTTCCTTCGCTTCCTCCTCGGCCTGTCACTCCAGTCCAATCGACGACTCTTTCGAGGTCTGTTGACACAGCGAGACGGCACTGACCGGAGCAACGAGGGGATAGTTCGACGACTCTTACGAGGTCTGTTGACACAGCGAGACAACACTGACCAGAGCAACAAGGAAATAGTTCAGTACATCAAGCAGAAATTAGAAGATAATCTTCCTGCAGAGAGATCCATCAATCTGTTCTACTGTCTGAATGAACTGAACGACCAAACTCTGGTGAACGAGATTCAGACCCACCTTAGCAAAGGAAGTCTCTCATCTGGTGACCTTTCACCTGCCCAGTGGTCTGCTTTAGCCTTTGTGTTGTTGACATCAGAGGAAGAGCTGGAGGAGTTTGAGCTTCAGAAATTCAAGAAATCAGACGAATGTCTCATTAGATTATCGGCAGTCATCAAAACCTCCAAAAGAGCCCTGTAAGTCTTTTAATGTATTTTGTCATGTTTAGCTCTCAACTGAAAAATGCATTTTATCTCTAAAAAAAATTCCCCATCATAAACATGAAGTTATACCTGTAAAGCTTTTTTTTATGTGTGTGTGTGTCTGTGGAGACAGTTTATCATAACTTAAGACAAAATATAAAATACCTTATAAAAATGTTTGCATGTTTGTTTTGTATCATATGATACTTGTATGACTTATATGTAATTATACATAATATCACATAGTCATACTTGAGGAAGAAAAAAAAAAAAATTCATATACCCAAACTGGGGGGTAGAATGTAATTTGGTACAGTTATTATTTATATTTCCAAAAAGTAAAAATGAAATTCTGAAAAGTTATAGTATAAAACATTGAGATTTTTACAAACTTAAATAAAGTACATATATATTACCACATTCGGGATCAGGGGGCGGAGATGGGTATGTTTAGGTACTGTATAAGGATTTCGTGTTCTGCAGTGAGGACCATCTCCCTATATTGGCATCAGCCATCGGCTGACCTTAATCTGACATATTAAAAACAAATACAATTTCTTAAGTTTAAGTAATTATAGCTTTATCTAAATCCACGGTTTTCAAACTGGGGTACGCATACCCCCAGGGGTACGTGGACTAATTTCAGGGGCTACGAGAAAAAAATATCTAAGGGACTGTTGGTTTTTTATTTAAGGGGCCACCGGAGGAGATTTGAGATCTGTATTCAAAAAAGACTTGACCCTCCCTTCGCCAGCAATAATTTTTTCTATGACCCTCCAAAATTATTGTGAAAAAAGCATGACCCTCCCCGATAATTTATTGATTACTTTTGTACTGGTTTGCGCTTGGCAAAGATGTTCAGATAACCATTGCTTTTTTTACAACCATGACAAACGAGTAAACTCCTGCTTTCTCATCTTACTAGGGCTGTAACGATAGACCAAACCAACAATTTGGTTCGTATCACGATTTTTGATTTTAGATTTGAAAAAATCATGTTTCGGTGCTGATGCAGTGGTGACGTGATGTGCAAGGGTGGCGCTGCCAATAAAGTATCTAAAGGCTGCCACAAAGAACCGACATAATGATTATGAATAGGTCAAATATAGCAAGGATACATTTTAATTGTTTAATTGTTAGCGTCGGCTGCCAAGATGAAGTTGCAATGTTGACAGTAGTGAATGTGCCAGAGAAAAATGCACATTTCATATGGATTACATAAAGCAGAGAGTCTGATTTCTTTCATTTTTAATTGTTCTGTTAAAAAGTAGACATTACAGGCCTTCTATATATTTCTCAGGTCTGTGAGGCAAGTACCTTATACGCTGTGTTTCGGTCAGGGCCGGTGCTAGCCATTTGGGTGCCCTAAGCACAAATGCTTGGTGGTGCCCCCTTAACAACCCCCCCCCCCCCCCCCCCGTCGCCCCCCTGCCTCCCCCCAACCCCAACCACCCACTCACCCAAGGAATAACAACCATTCAGAATTTCTTAGTTAGGTTCTCTTTACTTCCAAAATAACTGCTGCAAATAAATACATTTACATTAACAATGGAACCAAATATGAAAAGAAATAAATTATAAAAAGGTTAAAATTATAAATACCAAAAAAAAAAACACCACAATTACTAAAAACACATATTTGGAACTGGCTACAACTGCTGGTTGATGGTTCTTCCTCCTGGCCTTGAGTTGCTCCTTGCATGTATTTTAGCATTGACCCTGCATTCAGAAATACAAGACAAAATATTCAGGGATTCTACTGAATCAATAACCATCATACAAAAATATTGCACACATTAGTCTTTTATATAATATAGGCCTATATGTCACTGGAACATTTAAAATTAAAAACTCTATTCTACCTTTAAAAGAGGTCTGATGAGGCACAGTATAATAATTCTGTACATAATTTGTAGGGCTGGGAAAAGATAAATCGCGATTAATCGCATCCAAAATAAAAGTTTGTGTCTACATTAATGATATAGGCCTATGTGTGTGTGTACTGTGTATAGTTATTTTATATATGTATTTAAGAAATATTTGTTATTTATATATAAAATATTTTAATATATATATATATATATATATATAATATATAAATTATCTATAAATATATACAGTATATACATGCAAATATTTCTTAAATATATATGTGCAATTGTGCATATGTGTGTATATTATATATACAAAATAATTATACACAGTACTCATGTAGAAACTTTTATTTTGGATGTGATTAACACTAGAAGTGCCAGAATTCCAAAACTACTAGAACGGCCACAAACGGTCATTTTGACCGTTAGATTAAAAACAGTGTTGATGAATAATTTTCGTAATTATTTTCGTCAACCACATTTTTTCAAAGATGAAAACGAGACGATAACTAAATAAAAACTAGGTTTGAATGACAAACTATGACGAAAATGTTAGATAGTGACGATTTGCGAAGCGGTCAATAGGCTAATAATAATAATAGGACTATCAGAACTAGTGAACAGCCCATGCAGCAAAACAAACAGCGCAGGACAGGGCAGCGGAGCTCACCAGGATGATCCGACATGAATGGAACATCTGGATCCGCCGTGTCTGATCATAGCAGCCGTCTCTTTTTCCTTGATGTGGACTCTGACTCTGAATCACTCTCTGACGAGGAGGAAATGTTAACTTGCACCCAGGAAACGTCGCTGTCACTTTCCACCTCCGATTGTTCCCCGCATCCGAATCATCACTCGTCAAGTTCTGAAGCATCTCCAGGGCCATGGTCGAGTCATGTTCCTCCTCATTCGCTCATTCATTTTAGACATTTTAGCCTTGCAATATATATATATATATATATATATATAGGCTAAATAGCCTATAGATAACGTAAGTATTATAGATAACTGTAGTCCGGTTTTATTTGCTTATTTTTGATCAACAACTAATGTAGAAATTATTATATAGCAAACACTGCTACAGAGGTGACCGGGCGGACCTTTCTGTTGACAGTTGAGAGAGAACACGATCAACCGCGGGATATTTAACGAAAAATACCGCAAAATTCAGTGCGGTCAATATGACCGTCTATGGCCGAAATAGGTAAATATGTTCATTTTTTTTTGTTTTGCCTTACGTTTACGTAACTTAATTTATATGAAAAGCATTTTAAATGAAAATACAGACAATTTTAGGAAAAGTCAGGTACCAGCAGGATTTTATTATTTTTTTCAACAAAGTTATTGTAGATATAAAATTCAAAATGGTCAAAATGACCGTTGTGGCCGTTCTAGTGTTAAGCTTTTCCCAGCCCTAATAATTTGACACCTCCATATGAAAATATACAAACAGTGAGATTGTGGTTTTTTTTTTTTTCTAATAGCAGTTTCACTCAATAGATGTCGCCCTTGGGCCTTTGACCGCATTATCCAATAGAACAACAACGAAAAAACATATCTAAGCGATCTTCCTTTTCTTCTCAAACAAACTAACAGCATCTTAAACAGCCCAAGTAAACAAAAAATTCCCGGGGATAAACCCCCGGACCCCCGTTAAAATAAAAAATTCTAAATGCAGGGCAAAGCCCTTGATCATTTGCACAACTAGCAACGCCCCTCTGGACATGCATACACGAAGCAAGGGTGCCTACAAAACTAACACTTTTACTTAAAACATTGTCTTACCTGCAAACGAGTATCATCCCACTGTCTCTTCTTTTTCCTTTTTTCCGCCCCCGACTCTTGGTGCCTTTTCGAGGCCATGTCTGATGTTGATCAGGTGTCTGCCAAATTTGACACTGATTGAGGAACAGACCACTGCAAGGTGGGGAAGGGGGGGCACCAGAGGGAGACTCGCACAGGAGATTCACCTTTTTCTCCACTAATTTGGTCTAGGCCTATATTACTTTTGTATTGCTTTTGTATATTAACATGCTTTAGACATATTGTATTTGTTATTTATACTAGTAGCCTATTGTGATGATTTTTCACGACCAAGATTTTTTGGTGCCCCCCCAAGCACTTGGTGCCCTACGCGCAGTGCGTGGTGTGTGTGTGTGTGCGGAGCGCCGGCCCTGGTTTCGGTTCATTATTAGATGAGAGTCCAGTCCAGCCGGCGTCTCCGTGTCATGATAATCTATTTTCTACTATATTTCTTATTTAATAAATCCAGGCAATTGGTTGATGAAACATTGATTAGAATTAAGATACAGTTAATAAAAAAGGAAATTCACTTCCCTCATATTTCCCTCATATTAAATATAAAACGCATGTGTACACTGATATTTTACTAATGTCTGGAGCTTTATTAAAGGAGTATGGATATATAAACAGACGTTTCAGTATTAAATATATTTTCTGAGAATTTATATTTCAAGTTTTGACTGCAAATCTCACGTCCACAACGCTGGAATTGCCAAATTTTAAAGAATTTATCCTCAACTAGTTTTCTGGCGTAGGTCTACGTTATACACTCCACGGTTATGGTGGCAATTTCAGTAGATTTACTCAAAAACAAAAATTCATTATTTGCTCGTGGTTTAAAGCTTTGCCGGGTAAACATTTCATTCTTTGTGCGTTCTGTTCTGGCGTTCTGTTCTGACATGATCACACTTTTTCTATTAACAAAATATTCAAGACCAAGTATAGGTACAGATTGTACTTTGTGGAAAATGATCTTAGACTGAAACTGTCCCCAATTCGGCCTAACAACACTGCTTTATGTAAGAACATCGGCACATCCCTCACATTGATTAAACTGGTGATGTGGATGGAGAGGTGATAGGCTTATTCTTGCCACAGTCTTCGTCTGCACCAGTCTGTCTTTGTCATCTGCACTTCACTTCCCAGGATCCTCTTGTTTCCACACCTGAACTCACACCCTCAATCAGCCACCTGTTCATCGTCTTGTTCATCTGTATCACCTGTTTTCACCTTGTTCTGTTTCATTCATGTTTGTATTTAGTTGGCTTCTGTTCAGTCTGTATTTGTCGGTCTATGCTAATGTCAATGCGAATGTTACCCTGTGTTTGCGTCTGTTCTTCTGTGAGTAAAAGTTATATTAATTGGAAAACTGGACTTAGTCTGATCTTCTGCCTGCACCACACCATGACAATTCTGTGTGGTTTACTACAATTTAGTTTACTGTTTACTATTTAGTTTACTATTGTTAAGAAAGACAGACTCAACACTGGCAAGAACCTAAACTCCATCAGGTGACAGAAAATGAGGAAATTTGTCTCTGAATAAAAACACTATTGTAGAGGAAATAGGAGTTTTTGAAGATAAATGTTAGTTTAACTCAGTCTCTTTGCCATATATGCTGTTGATGTAAAAAATAAACGGAAAATGTAATTAATATTTTTTATATAGAAAATGTATTGAATGTGTTCCATCTAATTCTGTGTTGTGACTTTATTCTAGGTTAAATGATTGTAACTTAACAGACAAAAGCTGTTTAGCTCTGGCTGCAGTTCTTGGATCAGACACCAATCTGAAAGAGCTGAACATGAACAATAATGATCTGCAGGATTCAGGAGTGAAGCTGCTCTGCTCTGGACTGAAGAATATAAAGTGCAAATTGGAGATACTGAGGTAAGTTGAGCCACAGGAGTCACATGACTAGAGTGAGGTGTAGGGGTGCTCCGATCAGGATTTTTGGGGCTGATCCCCGATTATTGGAAGCTGTATCACCGGATACCAATCACCAATTACAGGGTCTATTTGAAGACTTCTATTTATCATGTAGCATTACTTATTAAACTTTATTTAACAACAATGTACATTAAGTATTACAATTAAGAGAAGACAATGTATCATGAATTGACACCTGTGTATTTATTTGCAAGCAACATATGCATTAACCTCTTAACCGTTGCCAGAGCGCCAGTGCACTGAAGCATTTTTTTAAAAATAGTTCAAAGTTACTATCAAATTTAATGTTATTATCTTGACAAACTATACATAATCAAAAAAATATAAGACTTAAGTTTCAGTATTTGTCCACTATTGTATTCTGAGAAACTTATAGGGACCGTTATGTCTTAATTTGTGTCAGGAGTTATGTAATTAAAAAATGAGTCGTTACCTTTTATACCTTTGCAGATTTGGAGAAAAATTTCGATAGATTCTCATAGGTTTACATCATATTTCTATAGACCAGAATAATATTTATTGAATTTATACCCAAATGCGTCGATGTAATTTTTATGAGCGCTGGATACTCTGATGTACTGAGTTTTCAATCCATACCAGCAGCCTGAGGGCGCCCTTTGCACAGTATAGTCCATATATGGTACACACGAAGAAGAACCATAATCATGTGACATTCCTGGAACTACCTGACATAAACAATAGTAGTGGGAAGTTCGGATCATTTTACTGACTTGGATATTTGAGTCTCATTCAGCAAAATGAACTAATCTTTTTTCGAGTCATTTCTGCCCGCCATTTCAGGCGCGCCCCCTGCCTCACTCACTGTAAACACAGTGGCCATGTTACAGCGCACGAAAGCTCCCGTGTCGTCACTGTTACGATCAGAGCCCAAAACCCATTCTACCCCTAGCCATTCACGTAAACGCGTGGGCACAGCTTCCCGGGGTTTTGAATTGTTTTTGAACAATTTTTTTTTTGAAAAAGGGTTTTGAAACTCTTGAACGCTAGTTATACTTGAGGAAGAAAAAAAATGTATTCATATACTCAAACTGGGTGGTAGAATGTAATTTGGTACAGTTATTATTTATATTTCCAAAAAGTAAAAATGAAATTCTGAAAAGTTATAGTATAAAACATTGAGATTTTTATAAACTTAAAGTACATTCGGGATCAGGGGGCGGAGATGGGTATGTTTAGGTACTGTATATGTAAGGATTCCGTGTTCTGCAGTGAGGACCATCTCCCCATATTGGCATCAGCCATCGGCTGACCTTAATCTGACATATTAAAAACAAATACAATTTCTTAAGTTTAAGTAATTGTAGCTTTATCTAAATCCACGGTTGTCAAACTGGGGTACGCATACCCCCAGCCAGGGGTACGCAGACTAATTTTAGTTCCGGGGTAGCGCAAACATCTCCGACAATGGGGTAATTAGCCAAAGATCGTTAACAGCTGTGGATGGGGAAAGCAAGCCTCGCGATTGGGACACTTAGTGACAAGGGAAGATAAAAGAAGAAAGTATAGATCAAATAGTGCGGGGGCTTTTGGGGAACAGTGTTCCCTTGGGAAGAGTGAGCCATAGTGCGGAGGAAAGGGGCCTGGCAAACGGGCACGGCACGATGAATGGAGAGACAAACAGGCTGATTCAATGGGAAAGAGGTAACCACGGGACAGAAGAACGTTGTGAGAGCTAGCGAGTGATCTAAATCAATTTCCATCTCCCTCTCTGGTGACAGTGAGACCTTTGATGTGAGAGCCGGGTCGAGAGAATGGGTAACGGCCATATATGTGTATTTTCCACTGAGTGCTGAATTGTTGAGATGAAGTGATGTGATGCACTGTCTGCTGTGTGAAGTGTGAACCTAAACCCGCTGGATGTCCATGTCTTACCTGAGTTTTCTATCACATTCTGACTGCATGAGAAGAGGCTAACATTGTTGTATCTCACAGACCATTGAGTGTGTTTGGCTGGCAGCCCACAGTGAAGAGAAGTACGTACTTGCATACTCGCCTGTCTGCTTTGCAGTAAAACGCCAGCCGCTCTGTGCCTGCTGACCCCGCCAGTGAAGAGAAGTACGTACCTGCATACTTGCCTGCCTGCTTTTGCAGTAAAACCAGCCTGCTCCGCCACGCCCTCAGCTGCTCCGCCCTGGAGGCTTCCTGCTCCAGATCGGCCTCGCCCTTGTCAGCCTCCAGGACGCCCACCCCCCTTTGTCTTTGTCATCTGCACTTCACTTCCCAGGATCCTCTTGTTTCCACACCTGAACTCACTCCCTCAATCAGCCACCTGTTCATCGTCTTGTTCATCTGTATCACCTGTTTTCACCTTGTTCTGTTTCATTCATGCTTGTATTTAGTTGGCTTCTGTTCAGTCTGTCCTTGTCGGCAGTGGCGCTAAAAATTGGGTATGCGCTATATGCGGCGCATAGGGGCGCAGCACAATGGGGGGCGCCAAAGCGATGGTAAAAAAAAAAAAAAAAAAAATTATATATATGCTATATTGTATTTCTATATGTAGCTGCCGTTGTGCGTTTCTAAATCATTTCTGCATTCCTTCAATGTTATATAAAATTTTAGAGGACTAACAGCCAGGCTAGAGTAGGCGCTGTCGGTACACGATCCGTTCCACCTGCACGGGGGGCGGGTAATATCGCGAGCGGGCGGGGGCGCCGTGAGCGCTGAGCGAGCAGGTACAAGTAGTGAGTTATCGTCGAAAAAGATGGATAAAACAAAATGCTGTGGGGCTAAAAATAGAAAAAGAAAGAGAGAAAAGGAGATGGCATGTCAATTGATGCGACAGCAGCTAAATAACTGCATGCATTGCTGAAAGCCAACAGGTAGGATTTAAAATGTGACATCCAGGCATGTAGGCCATCTATATCTCGGTGGCCATCGGGACTAGCGGGAGATTCCCGCTGGGCCGACGTGCTTTTCAGCCAATACATTTCATCCTTTTTTTAATTTATTTGTCTTAACGGCCCACAAAACTCATACATTTGTTTGTTGTTTGTTTTGTTTTTTGCTTAATTGGCGGCGCTGTGCTGGTGTAATGCATTGGTCAAAAAAAGTCAGCTTTAGTTTTTTTTTCTGACACACTGGCCCATGAAACATGTCATTATGCGCTTATCAAGTATAGAAATTAGTGCAAAACTAATTATGAAAGTTTCCTTTATTTTTCTGTGCATTTGTTTTACAATAGCCTTTATGGCTATTACTATCATGGGATTAATATTATAACTATTATTATGTAGTAGTGTAATGTAGACAGACACTAAAGAGGTTCAAATTTTTCTCTGTTTAATTTGCACCCTGATTATGGGTTGGAGCTTTTAATTTTGAACTCTCAAAGTGCACCAGACTGCTGAATTTAACATTACAGAACACAAAATTTTCTTACGGGGGAGCATGCCCCCGAACCCCCCTAGAGAAACAGAGGTCCACCTACCACAGTTTTACCTAAAATCCTGTGAAAAACACTGGTATTGCTGTTCCAATGGACCTTATAGTTTTCTTAGGGGGGATCATCAAGGTGGAGTAGCTAAAGTTTAATTGTGTTAATAAGCGACAATTGTGCACTTATTTTTTTATGTTAGCTCTCATTTCTTCCTACTCACTTATTACTCAGCACACTTACATTACATTTATTTTTCCTTTTTTTTTTTTTGGGGGGGGGGGGGGGGGGGGGGGGGGGGGCGCTAAAATTGTTGCTGCATACCCCTCTGAAACTGGGTAGTTGCGCCCCTGCTTGTCGGTCTATGTTAATGTCAATGCAAATGTTACCCTGTGTTTGCGCCTGTTCTTCTGTGAGTAAAATTTATATTAATTGGAAAACTGGACTTAGTCTGATCTTCTGCCTGCACCACACCGTGACAGATAGACAGACCAAAACGAAGTATGGAGTGGGTGGCCATGGACCTTCTTCTTCTGGCCCAGGAGGATCAGTCCCTTGAGGCCCACACATAGAGTTATTTGGACTTGGTACCACACATACATTACGACGACACCAGCCTCTGTGTGTTTTTCCGGGCTGGTCTCAATGATGAGACCAGAGCATGCCTGCCCAGAAAGGGGCCTCGAGGGAACTTCGAGGAGTTCGTCGAGTGGGTGCTGGTGCATAATAATTCACCGCTCACCATTGGGCGCTGCATCAGCCCCACCGACTCTTCATCGCTGGTTCCGCCCGGCCCCGCCGAGCCTGAGCCCTCCTCACCGCTGCTTCCGTCCAGCCCCACCGAGACCGCTTCACTCCACATCCCGTCTGCCCAGCGAGAGACCGTCCAGCCCAAGACCGTCCAGCCCGAGACCGCCCAGCCCGAGTCTCGTCCCGCCGAGACCGCTGTAAAGACTCAGTTCGGGTCTGATCGGGGGGGGGGGGTTTGCATATCATAATTAATAATTGATAATTAATAATTATTCATACAGATTTGGATCAGACTGGTCTTACATATTAATAAATCTCCCATTTAGGGATGCTTATTTAAATTTTACTTGTATGCATACATGTGCGTCTCTGCAATTAACCACAAATTAATTGTAATCAATTACACAGACCACGTTTTACAAGACAAGCAAAATTAATTAGCTCAATTAAGTTATAGAGTTTGTGAAAACGAATTCTGTGGGCACAAGAATTCGCCTTCCTGCTCAATAAACAAATACCCTTTTAGGTATGTTTAGTTCTGTAAAGCGTGCAGCTTCTTGGACGACATTTCATTGACTAGTTTTATGAGCAAGACAATGATTCAGTCAAAATGAGCATAATTGTATTTAATAAAGCAACTACTTAAGCATTTACTACGTTACAATGATACATGTATTTACAAACATTAAAACACAAACTAAGACGACGCAGGGCGTTTAGACAATGGATACGCGTAAATGAGTGGGAGAGAGAGAGAGAGTGAGAGGGAGTGAGTTGTAGAGAAAGGGAGAGTTAC